GGGAGGAAACCGGTTGCTACTGAGATTCTCAAGGACGGGTTTCAAAAAAAAGGAACTAATGAATGAGTGGTCCATAGCTCAGGAGATTGCGGTATAGTTTTATTTTTTATGTTTTGCAGATTTTCACTTTCAATACATGGGTATTTATATTACTTTTACTCAGTTTAATACATTATTACAGAATATTATTTCATAATCTGTTTTAATGCATTATTATGTTGTGAAAATTGTAATTATTGTTGCCAACTTTTAAGACTTTTTTAGTTGTTTAATTATTTACAAGTGAAATATTATATTTAACTAGTTACATTGTTTGTAGTTACATTAACTATTTGTATTATTTCGAGTTTATTTAGTTTAATACTAATTTAAATTTTAATAGGAAAAAGTTGCGGCAGAGGTAGATCGTTAAACGCAAGACTCCCAAGAGGGTAGTGTGGATGAAAATGCAATTTTTTTAAGTTGTATCTCCCAAAAAGGAAAAATATTTGGGTTGGATCCTCTTACCGTGGCAGATTTGCGCAATGGTTTATTTGATCTCGCTTCATCTCAACTGACACAATATGTTAAAGTTGAGGATTTCAATGCTTTTAGAACGTCTATAATGAATCAAATGGAACTGATGATGGCGATGCGGGGGATGGATCCTACTAATGGGTCGACCACTCATTCACTTCCAAAAATGACACAAGGTTTCATATCTCAACTCATACATCCATGTTTCCTACGATTCCATCAGGGATGGCTCATAATTTGAACTCACAATCAGCCCCTTATTATCTAACGATGTAACCGAATGGCTACATGTCGGGACAACAATCTATCCCGCTTCAACCATCCATGCCTTTTCAAGTGCCATTTGAATTAATTCCTCTACAAAATCGCACTTCTTTATATGAAACCTTTTTGAATAATATATTTGCTAGAAATGAGAGAGGGAATGAAGCTGGTGGACAATGAAGAAGTATTTGCAGTGTTTTTTATTTAGTTGTGGTGTAATGAACAATCCCTACTTTTATTTGTAGAACTTTTGTATTGTATTAACATTGTTTTTGTTTAATCTTGAAGTATGCTATTTTATGAAATGTTGTGAACCACAAATTCTTTACTAAAAAGGGAAATTGGAAGTTTTAATTGGAACGAATAAAAAGGAAAGTTGGAAGTTTATTTAGGAACGGAGGGAGTATAATATAAAAAGGTAAATAACAAAAAGTTTTGAAAAATTAAAAAATTTAAAAATAAAAAAAATTAAAAGATTAAAAACTTAAAAATTAAAAATTAAAAATTTTAAAATTTAAAAATTTAAAAATTTAAAAATATAAAAAAATATATAAAAACTAAAAACTAAAAAATATAAAATTATAAAATTTGAAAAGTTAAAAAAAAAATTATGACTCATGACAATAGGAGTAATATTCACAATAGTTGTACATGTATCTATTTTTTTAAGTAAGCTATAAAATAAAGGTTGGGGGAAATAGGAGGGAAGGTTTAGCTGAATGCGTAAGGCATTCAAATAAATTCTTCAAGATAACTGCGCTTTTAACTGCACAGTTATCTTCAAAAATTCATTTGAATGTTTTCCTGATTGAAGTTTTAGCTGAAATTTGGTATGAGTAAACTAGACTTAATGAATATTAAGCTCAAAAAATTGCATCAAAAATTTCCACCGGGAACAGCCCCAAATGACGACGGCTCGACATAGTCTCCTATATAAGGGCTTATTTGACATTTTTTGGTTAGTACGTGGGCTTATTTGCCCCTTTTCTCTGCGAAAATATTTTCATTAAACCTTTCCTCCTATTTCCCCCAATCAAACACAATTTTTTATCAAAAACCTTCCTTCCCCTTCCCTCCTTGACTCTCCCCTTCCCTCCCCTCCTTTCAACCAAACAAGGCCTAAAAGTTTCATATGTACAATGGAGATTAAAAGCGAGTTACGTTGGTTGCAACAATAGCAAGATTAGCAACTGAGAAACTAATTTTGGAATAAGTATAGGGAGTATATAAGAGCATCTCCAATGCTACAATGTGCACCGTGCAGAGACATGATAAATAGCCACATAAATATTACGTAGTAATAAATAAATTATCTCTCTCTTTATTTGAATGGCTTTATACAATTTTGATACGTTTTTCTCTACAATGTCAAGAAGACTGCATAGATGTAGACATTGTGGTTGTTAAGAAAAACTTACCAATATTGTATAAAATCACTCAAATAAGGAGAGAGATAATTTATTTAATAATACTTTTGTGGCTATGTCACATACAGTGAAGAAGGACCTAGGGGGTCCTGGGGGGCAAGTGCCCCCGCTTCCGAACCCGAAGTTTAAGATTAGTACTTAAGATAAAAAATGTGTCCCCACTACCCCGTCAAAAAACTAGAAATTTTTCCATAAATATTACCAAAGTAAAACTAATGGACATTAATATTACTAATTATACCTCCATCCCGATGGACTTTGCCAAGTTTAGAGTAGGTGAGAAATAAGAACAGTAAAAGTTGTGTGGTTGGAATTTGTGTGGAGGAGAGAGAAATGAGCAAAACCACAATTCAATTGCTTTAAAAGGAAAGTGACAGAGGGAGTACTATAGTTACTATGCATAGTCACTATACTGATAGATTGAACACAATCATGGTCACTAAAATTACAATTGTAGTTATTAAGTCTTATTGTTGTCCACTATTTTTATTTCAATCATATTGTCATTATTTCAAAAAACTCTAAGCTATATAGGACTCCGTCGAAGACATAACAATTGTAGTAAGATATAGTACAGAGTAGTATAAATTATAAACAACCACGAAGTTGTGATGGAGCAAATCCTTATACTTAGGCATGTTGTTGATATGATTACTACACTTTCTTTGAAAAGTGGCATTAATGATTGTCTTACTTAGTGTAAATTATGTTTGTCCAAAGTTAAAGGTCGTTTCTAATATGTAGTATGAACTTAATAGATTGAAGACTTTTATCTTGAATAAAAGTCCATACATGAAAAAAGTGTCAATTCACGACAAATAAGTTTCAAACCAACATACTCTTTGAATTTTTTATCTATAAAATGATAAATATTACATATATAGAATCATATTATTAAATAAAGTTGTATTAAAGGATGAAATCTTAAACATGATTTCTACTTCATTTTTAACACGATAGTATTATATTCCAGACAAAGTAACAACAAATTTTGTGGCACAATGTGTAACATTCGACATGATTCTAGTTCAGATATGAAATCTTGATCATTTTATAGTATGAAAAATAACGAGAATTCTAATGTAAAATCAGAAATAACGCAAAGATGAATCATTTTTTATCCAAACTATATCTTTCTTTCAAAAATCCATATATATTATTTAGAATTGTCTTAAAAAGTTCAAAATTAGACTTATAATCCATATATGTCCATTGTTTGAAGGCGGCATTGAATAATCTATTTCCAGTTAAAAATAATAATTTGAACGCACTTGTCAAAAAAAGATTAATGATACACCCGATTCGACCCGACCCGTTTCCATCTATGCGGGAGTGCCCCGCTTCAGAAAAGATCTGGGTCCGCCACTGGTCACATGTGCACCGTGCACATTGTAGCATTGAAAATGCTCTAATACTTCGTATAATATTAATAATGAAAATCAAAGGTGTATGTTTACCATATATGGTCATCAACTGTAACAAGAAAGTTAATATAAGTACAAAATTATCTTCAAACACAAAATCATCTTGTGTACGAATTACAAAGCATCATTGGGATTGTTCGAGTGACACATATTTACATCAAAGTTCGAGGTGGATTCTTGAGAACCCATGATTAGTTTGTCTAACTCGGGATCACTTGGTGCTAACAAAAAAACTATGTAGTATAAAGCATCCTCATTTAAAGAGCATCTGAGAAGGGTTTCCCTACAAGAGTGTTGCTTTCCCTCTTAATTACTTTTCCATTTTTTCCTGCATTTCTCCTTTGATTTCAGGTTGGAATAGACTTACTATGAGTGATATTAATTTTGGAAAACTGATCGAACTCTTCGAAGTATACTAAAATTAAGCTGTGATTTACAACTACAAATGTACAAAACACTTACCACCTAGTTACCTTGTAAAAATGTTCTCCAAATAATCATATGAACCACATCATTTTTTGTAACGTTGGTTTTTTTTGTGACTTTTATTTTATAGGACACTCCATGAAAAGGAAAATGAAGAGGACAAACGGTACATGTCACGCGCAAAGTTTTTCGTGATTGCTCTGACTTGCAGTTTTTTATGGTACTTCTTCCCTGGTTACCTGTTCCAGACTCTACAAATCATATCATGGGTATGTTGGGTCTTTCCCAAATCCGTTACCGTGCAACAATAGGGTCTGGAATGAACGAGCTTGGACTAGGAGCCCTGACTCTAGACTGGGCAACAATAGACTCATTTTTGTCCAGCCCACTCATAAGTCCATTCTTTGCCATTGCCAACATCTTTGTTGGGTACACATGTGTGATGTACATTGTGATTCCCTTATTTTATTGGGGATTTAATGTTTATAATGCCAAGAACTTCCCCATTATCTCATTTGACTTGTTTACAGCACAAGGTCAAGAGTATAATATATCAGCTATTGTTAATAATAAGTTTGAGCTTGATGAAGCTCAATATGCTAAGCAAGGGAGAATCCATTTAAGTACCATGTTTTCATTGTCCTATGGATTTGGATTTGCCACTATTGCATCTACCCTATCTCATGTAGCCATCTTTTATGGAAGGTGAATTTTCTTAAATTCTTAAGCTAAGTTACTAAGAACTCAAAAAAGTATCGTTTTATCTAGTTGTGCCAAACATACACATAATGTGGTCCCACACTATACCTTAACTTTACATTTTGCGATAAAGACTTACATGAGCAAGTAAAAGTAAACAAATGAAGTATTTCTTTCAATTTGGTCTAAAACTTACTTTGGATATACGATTATGGCATCCTTATTCTTTTGTGTGTGGGCGGAAAAATATATGAACGATATAGAGCATCTACAAAGGGAAAAGTCGATATACATATGAGATTGATGAGAAACTACAAAGACATACCTTCTTGGTGGTTTTACATACTTCTTTTGGTGACAGTGACGATGTCACTTGCACTGTGCATCTTCTTGAAAGATGAGGTTCAGATGCCATACTGGGGACTTCTCTTTGCAGCTGCTATTGCTTTCGTGTTTACCCTCCCCATTAGTATCATTACAGCCACCACAAAACATGGTAAGCATATACTACTTTGATAGAAACAGTGTAAATATGTTAATATGACATTTATTTTGATTTATTTAAATTTTCCTTGATGACAGACACCTGGACTAAATATAATTACAGAATACATAATGGGGATAATATATCCTGGAAAACCTATAGCTAATGTGTGCTTCAAGACGTACGGTTACATGAGCATGGCTCAAGCTGTATCCTTCCTCAGTGATTTCAAGCTGGGTCATTATATGAAGATTCCTCCTAGATCAATGTTTTTGGTTCAGTTAACACTCAAAACAATCCATTAACCAAGTAGTGTAATATAAAGTATAAACTCACTTGTATACTGTAAGCTTGAAGAATTAATCTTTCTTGTATATTATTGAGCCATCCGGCAATGATATATATACAAGTTACAGATAAGGTTAAGTTGTTACAGATCCTAAAAAGTAGGATCTATCTATTCTATCTATTTTGCGGGCTAATCTAATAATTAGAGACCTCTACCTACTCTAATTCTTATCTATACAGTCCCGGATGTACAAATAATAAAATAACATGTAAATGCTACATTTTTCTACACTCCCCCTCAAGTTGGTAAGTATATATCATACATTCCCAACTTGCTTATAAGAAATTCAAACACTGGTTTAAACAGCCCCTTTGTAAAGATATCAGCTGTTTGTTCTTTGGTAGATATGAATGGTGTGTGCACAATTCCAGCTTCAATCTTCTCTTTGATAAAATGCCTGTCCACTTCAATGTGTTTAGTACGATCATGTAGCACAAAATTGTGAGCAATATTAATGGCTGCTTTATTGTCACAATATAACTTCATAGGTAGTTCCATTTCCATATTCAATTCTGACATCATTCTCTTGATCCAAAGTAGTTCACAGATTCCATTAGCCATAAATCTGAATTCAGATTCTGCACTACTTCTAGCAACCACATTCTGCTTCTTACTCCTCCAAGTCACTAGATTCCCCCATACATAGGTACAATACCCAGATGTGGACTTTCTATCAGTTATTGAACCAACATAATCTGCATCTGTAAAAGCTTCTACACTTCTATTGTCACTTTTTTAAAAAAATAATCCTTTCCCTGGACAGCTTTTCAAATATCTTAGGATTCTGTAGGTAGCATCTAGATGTTCCTGGAATGGATTATGCATGAATTGACTAACCATACTGACTGCAAAGGCAATATCTGGCCTTGTATGTGCCAGATAAATCAGCCTTCCCACCAATCTTTGATATTGGTGAATATTAACTGGTACTCCTTCCTTGACATTTCCTAACTTTTGATTAGGATCAATTGGAGTATCTATTGGTCTGCAGGCACTCATACCTGTTTCATGGAGTAGGTCTAGTACATACTTCCTCTGAGATACCACAATTCCCTTCTTTGATCTGGCTATCTCCATGCCAAGAAAGTACTTCAATTCTCCCAGGTCTTTGATCTCAAATTCCTGAGCAAGCTTCTTCTTCAGGTCTTCAATCTCTTTACAATAGTTTCTTGTAAGAATGATAACATCCACATAAACAATTAGTACTGCAATCTCTCCCTTAATGGAGAATTTCATGAATAGTGTATGGTCTGCTTGGGCTTGCTTGAATCCCTGCTTCTTTATGAATTGAGTAAACCTTTCAAACCAAGCCCTTGGGGACTGTTTAAGTCCATATATGGCTTTCTCCAGCTTGCACACCTTTGAGCCATATTGTTCCTCAAACCCAGGAGGGGGGCTCATGTATACTTCCTCTTCAAGCTTCCCATTTAAGAAAGCATTCTTCACATCTAACTGTTGAAGAGGCCAATCTAGGTTAGCAGCTAGAGATAGAAGGATTCTTATAGTATTTAATTTTGCAAGTGGAGCAAAAGTTTCTGTATAATCTATGCCACAGGTTTGTGTGTATCCTTTGGCAACCAATCTGGCCTTATATCTTTCAAGTGTACCATCTGCCTTGAACTTAGGGGTAAATACCCATTTGCATCCCACTGTTGGTTTGTTTTTGGGTACTTCTACAGCCTGCCATGTCTGATTCTTTTCAAGAGTATTTTTCTAAGAAGTTAAATAATTTTTTTGCTGAAAAAGGAATTATTCATCAAAGTTCCTGTGTAAATACACCTGCTCAGAATGGTATAGCTGAGAGGAAAAATAGACATTTGCTTGAAGTCACTCGTGCAATTATGTTTTCTGCTAAAATTCCAAAATATTTATGGGGAGAAGCTGTTTTACATGCTACCTATTTAATTAATAGGATGCCATCAAAAACTCTAGGATTTAAAACTCCTATTGATACCCTTCAAGCCAGTTTTCCTGAAACTAGGCTTATTAATTCTCTTCCCATAAAAAATTTTGGCTGCACAATTTTTATTACCAACCCTGACAGAACTGCAAGCAAATTTGATCCTAGAGGCAAAAAATGTGTTTTCTTAGGACTATCTTCAACACAGAAAGGCTATAAATGTTTTGACCCTATAACAAAAAGATGTTTGTAACAATGAACACTGTTTTTGTTGAAAATCAATCTTTTTTTGGTACTCATCTTCAGGGGGAGATTCCTAATGAAGATGGTGATAATGTGTCACATATCCATGAAAAACTTGAATCTCTTGACATTATTCTAGATGCACAATATAATAGACAGTTAGATGCACTAGAAAATAGTCAAGAGTCAAAAGAAAATGAAATAAATTTTTCTGGAACAAGGAAAGATGATGAACAGCAGACAAGTAACTTTTTTGGTAAGGTTTATGAAAGGAGAGTTCCAAATCAAAGAATAGAGGACATCCCTGATCCTGCCAATGTCCATGAATCTGACTCAATGTCAGAAAATGACAAAGGTAATAATTTCAGTGATCTAAATCTACCTATTGCTCTCAGAAAAGAAAAAAGATCATGTGTTAAATACCCTATCTCAAACTATCTGTCCTATTCTCAGTTATCTACATCATTTGCAGCCTTTACCTCTAGTCTTTCCACTGTTTCTATTCCCTTAACCATACAGGAAGCTCTATCTATACCTGAGTGGAAGAAGGCTGTTTTAGAAGAAATGAATGCTCTGATACCATGTAAGCTTGAAGAATTAATCTTCCTTGTATATTATTGAGCCATCCGACAATGATATATATACAAGTTACAGATAAGGTTAAGTTGTTACAGATCCTAAAAAGTAGGATCTATCTATTCTATCTATTCTGCGGGCTAATCTAATAATTAGAGACCTCTATCTACTCTAATTCTTATCTATACAGTCCCGGATGTACAAATAATAAAATAACATGTAAATGCTACATTTTTCTACATATACATATATTACCAATTTGTATAGTTGTATACTGAGCTTTTGTTTACACATATAAGATTCTGTTTGTGAGTTTTTTAGAGAGAGAGAACACTAGTTGTGAAGATGATTGTACAAGTTTTCACTCACATACATAAAATCATATATGTGTTGCAGAAATAATTGATGTTCAAGTGTGTTGAATAAATGGGTTGTAGATCATGCATAACTCTAACAAGTCCTAAATGATCAGATGTCCTTTAATTGATGACATCATATCAAATTTGGAAAGTTTACTAATTTTGTCTGTAATTTGTGTTTTTGTTCATAACTACGTATTAATTTGTTAACTTTACTCGGATAATGTCCTGTAACTAATAGGTTTGTTAATATTAAGATTTTTTGTTGTAATGTGGAATACTGATGTGCTTAATGTTTACAAATTCTATTGGAAGAGTGCTCTATATGTGCAAGTTTATTAGTTCCAAGGCATCATATGCAAGTGAGTAGAATTACATGAGTAATAATGATATAAAGAGACTTAACTAGCGATTTCTCTTTCAAAGATTGAAATTATATATCAACATTTCCTATAAGCATATGTGAGCTTACATTTCCTATTTTAAGAATATATAGCAATTTGGATGTCGTTGAGTAACTTTATAAGTTTATAGCTGTTAACTGTTTGAATGGATGAAGCATGTGAGTAAAGTTACTTAATTTGTATGATCATAAATTTTGATAAACAACACTTTCTTTTTGCATCATTTGATTCATTTATATATCATGTTTTGAAATTAAATCTTTGTTAATATGTAAAACCGAACCATATTGTATATAATAAGTTGCCTACGTTGTTTTCAATTACGCAACATGTAATCAAAGACATTAATGATCAAACTCATGCATTGTCAGATAAATAAATGTGAAGTAAAACAGAAAAAGAACAAAGTTTAGTTCATTTCTATGTTATTGGAATTCTTAGTACTTAATGGTTGGATTTAATTATCAGATAAAAAGTACTCCTATATAATAATTCCTTCTTGAATTGCTCACCTTTTTTGTATTAATGTTTCAAAAAAAATAGTTCATTGGAACCATCATTGCTGGAACAACAAATATGATTGTTACATGGTGGCTCTTGCACTAAGTTGACAACATATGCCATCAGACCAAGTTCACAAACAGCCCATGGACCTGCCCTGGTGGGGGACCACTGACCCTGAGCATATCCATTGATGGTTATCCTACATTTTAGCTTCAAGTTTGCATTGCATGTAAGGTTGGCGTAGTTAGAGCCTTAGAGGCCATGCTAGGCCTAGTGGATCCCAAATTTGAAAAGAAATTGATTTGTATGTAAAATATCTGTGTTGAAATTTATTTGAAAACAATTTACCACGATACAATCCATTTTGTTCTTTTGCATTGTAAATTAATAGACATGCTACGAAAAGGCACATTTAATGACAAATAGTTTATGACTATGTTATTTTAAATTAGGGAGTCTTTGAAAAACAATGATAATTTGTTATAAAAACTTTTACCAAATTAAAATAATTTGTGATCCTAACAAGTTGTGGCTAGCAGTACACCAAAAAAGAATGTCTCATATGATCCAAATTTGCCTCAGATCAGTAATAAGCATTTCCCCTAAAAGAAAAAACAATGATATCACAAATGTGTGGGTTAGAACGAAGAGGCACATCCAGATCCACACGTACAATCCTATCACAAGAAGCAGAGACTTCATTACCGGCACCGGAGAAAGAAGAAGATGCTTCATCATCAAAGGAAAAGTTTGCTGGGGATGATGATGAGGCTGCGTGGACGTTTCGCGTGTTTGTGTTGGGATCATTGTCGTGCATCTTGTTAATAATTGCAAACAAATATTATCTTGAAGAAACAACGGAGAGTGTGATGTCAATGGTGGTTGCAATGGCTGTGGCGTACCCGGTTGGGGTCCTCATGGCTAAGAAGATGCCAAAGAGGAGGATCTACGTAAGGGCGCTTGATTTCGAGTTTGTGTTGAACCCTGGGCCTTTAAGCATGAAGGAATATGTTTTGATCACTACTTTAGGAAATGTAGGTGCTGTCTATGGTGGCTTGACCTCTCATTCTATCCCTCATTCCTTGTCATTCTAATTGGTTTCTGCACATAAATAAAAAAACACCCTCCCTGTATGAATCAAATCCATCAATTTTGGCTTCATTGTGTATATGCTATCCTTTTATCTTTTTAAAACTAAAAAGAAATTTATGTTGACAAGAGATATGGGCTAATATTTTATTGACATTCCAAAATTAATAAATAGCTATGTTAAACAAGTGTAACTGATTTTAAATTCCTTATACAACCTTTTTAACATTAAAAAGTGTAAACCCATTAACAAAAAACTGGATAGAATATTGTACGAGCTCATTCATTGCCTATTGATTCTTTGGATGTTTTAAGCTATTCTGTTCACAGGGGGATATTTTTCCAGAAAATGTGTTCTTACAATATTGCATTTGTAACTTCATAAAATTGCATTGCATTCGTCAAGTTCCACCACGGCAGGGTAGCAGGGATTGTAATTCTTCAAAAACTTTCCATTTGTCACTTAACAAAGTAACTTAATATATTTCAATTTATGAGGCTCATCAAATCAAATAATATTTTTGTTCCATTTTTTCCCTTTTTGATGTCTCAATCAAATAATATTCTTTTGAAGTTTTTTTTTTGCTTTTTTTAGGTATGGATCTCAAAGAATTGCTAGGAGAATACAAGAATGTCAGAGAAAAGCTATTTTATTATGTTAGGCTTTACCTTGAAAATAAAACAAAGGCCAAGAAGTGGTTGTTTATTTTACAACTCGTAGAGTCATAGTAAACCGATTTTTTGTCTTCAAAATATAGCACAATGTCCATTCAAAATGTAGTAACAACATTATTTTGATTTACCTGTTCACTAAACCTCGTCTTTACAACTCCTAGTGTGCACAATGCATTCATCAATTCCAAAGCTTCCTTCCCAAACCCTTCATTCGCTAAACCTTTAATGAGAATAATGTAAGTAGTTTCAGTCGGTTGACATCCCCTTGACACCATATCGGCCAAGAAGTCAATTGCACGGTCTGTTTGGCGAATTTTGCAAAGTCCAAATATTACACCATTGTAAGTGATAGCATTAGGTACGACCCCCAATTCACCCAAGTCACGAAACAACTCGATGGCTTTATATGCACTCCCTTCCCGACTAAGCCCCCAGATGATCGAAGAGTAGGTAATCAAATTGGGTTTCAACCCCTTTTTCATCATCTCATCTAACAGGTCTATGACCCTCTTCGTTTTGCCCACCTTTGCTAGCCCATCTATCATCACATTGTAAGTTGCAAGCACAGGAGAACATTCATGTTTCATGCTCAGTTGGTCAAAGATTTCAATTGCCAAATCAACCTTCCCATCTTTGCAAAGGGCATTGAGTAGTGTGTTATAGGTCACGATATCAGGGTAACATCCCTGGGAAACCATCACTTCTAGATACTCAATGGCTTCGTCCATCTTTTTCTCCTTACAAAAAGCATGGACTATTGGATTGTAACTCAATGAGTTGGGAGTACAACCGTGCATTGGCATTTTCTCCAACAAATCAATCGCTCTTCCCAAAATGCCCTTCCGGCACAAGAAATTGATGAGGATGTTAAAGGTGACGACGCTCGGAGAAATCTTCTCTTTCCTAACCATCTCTCCAAATAGCCTCTCAGCTTCCTCCCACCTATCAGTGGTACACAAGCTACGTAAAATAGTGTTGAGAGTGATCACATTTGGATGGACCCCATGTGATGGCATCTCATTCAAAAACTCAATCGCTCTGTCCAAATGCCCGCTTTTGCAAATTGCGTCAATCAGAATGTTATACGTCACTTCATTCGGCCTACATCCCATACTCCTCATATCATCAAATAACTTCATTGCTCGCTGGACATCACTACCCTTGCACATTGCCTCAATCAGAATGGTATAAGTGTATACATCAGGGTAACACTTCCACTTTAGCTGCAAATCAAGAACCTCCATAGCCTGTTTAAGTCTTCCATTCCGGCATAAAGCTCTAAGGATCTTGTTGTATGTGACAATATCAGGAGAAACAGTCATTTGCTTCAAGATATTCAAGGCGTCATGAAGCTCACCTACCTTACAATGTGCCACAATCAAGGCCTGGTAGGTGATGACATCAGGATCCACCCCTGAACCCTCTAAAATCTTCATTACACTTGTGGCCATCTTAGTCTGCCCATTTCTACAAAAATCCCTAACCAACCTCTCAAGCATATGCACATCCGGGATTTCTCCTCGGCCAATCATGGTCACAAGGTGTCTAAAACCTTCCCCCAATTTACCATCCCACACCAGCTTCCTAAGGTGGTAGTTACTCTCAAGGTTATTACTACTGGTATTGGTCGTCATAATTTCAGTACTTGACAAAGCAAAGACCTTGTTTCGCTGAAGTTTTGAATTACGTTCCAGGTTTTTCAATCCACCAAGAGAACTTGAGAGCAAATTTGTAAAACGGATACTAACACATCGACCTTTGACCTCAAAGGAGTGAGCTCTAAAACTCCCTTCAAGATTACAGAGAAATGAGCAAAAACAATCGTTGTTTTGCTTCGTAGGCACCATTATCTCCATTTCCGACCAAAACAATTAACACAATAACACGAACTAACAAATGGTTGTAATTCGAGTTCAAAGCATCAAAACCTCACGCATGCTAATAAGCGCTGGTCAAACGGAGAGAAAACAGAGAAATAAAGAAAAGGATCGCTGACTGTGTTGAGTTTTGGCCGGAAAAGTGACGAGCAATACGGAAGAGGCACGGTGGGCTCAGACACATCCGAGATAAGGTCTATGCCGCCTACCGCTTCTTTTTTCCATTTAAAAAAAATGAATTTTAAATGAATCAAATTTTTCATTAATCAATTCAATTTTTACCGTAATCCAGCACCGTCAATATACTCATCATCAAAAGTTTTTGTAATTAAAATCTTGTTTTTATTATTATAGATCAATTGTTTTTTAAAAAATTGTTGGAAGAATAATAATTTTTAAAAAAAATAAATTTTTGATTTAAAAAAATTAAATAAATATTTTTAATTGCCAATTTCGGCTTAAGATGGACAAATATCATGCCATCGTAATGATATCAGACAATATCATAAACTTCTTCCATTTAAAAAATAACATCTCATTTTTCTTATTTGGATGTCCAAAACTTTCATTAGAAAAAACTATCAATAGTAATGTCACGGCTTCTTACTAAATTTGATATAAACTTTATTATCTTAGAAACTTAAATCAAAATTCAGCTTACATTTGAGTGGGGCGGCATGTACATAATAATCCGTATATAATTAATGTTATTTTAATCGACACGTGCATTGTATTATTAAAAGCAAAGAGATATGTAATTATGTGATATTTGGAATTATCAGCGTTCCCAATAATCCCATCTATGCCGAGAGGGAGTTCCATGATTTCAGAAATAGTGGAAAAATACATTTGTGAATGTACAACACAATTCAGCTTAGGGCATCCCCATTATATTCCTGAGTTTATTTGAAGATCAATTGAATGATGTGTAAGATAATTTTAAAGATTATCATTGTGAGTGAGAAATTATTTAATGAGATTATTGAAAAAGAAAATCGGGTATCAAGATTCAAATCTCAAATTATTTTAGATTGTAGATAAATTAGATTTAATGCATGTCTGGAAAAAACTGATTATTTGAGTATTACTACATATTATTGATGAAGAGTTTTAAACTTTGATATTATATAAAAAAAAATGAACAATTGTGATGTGACAATGATGTATAATAAAAAAATTGTTTATTTAGAAAGCATGAATGGAGATGCTCTTTTGGAAACATAAGCAGAAACGCTATTAATGAGGACTATGCTCTCCCCTCTTGAAATAACTAATTCCAAATGAAAATCCTATACTAAAATGAGGTAAAAAAGCCTACAAATAGGAGTAAAACATAGGCAAAATGTAAAATAGGAGTACCATATTCTGAATAGGAGTAATTTTAGTGTTTGGACAAATATATACCCCTATCCAAGCCCCAACCACTATCATTAATAATTAAAACATAAAACAAATAAAATTAATTTATAATAAAAATGTAAAAAGATAAAAAAACGAAAATATATATTAAATAAAATGTAGTCCGTATTAAATAAAATTAATAAAAATAAAAAGTATTAAAAAGTATTAAAAAGTATTAAATAAAAAATTAAAAAAATTAAAATATATATACGGGCCTCTGTCGCCACCTCAATAACCTTCTAGCACCACCAACTCCGACCATCGGAAAAATGCCAACATTTTTCAGAAATGTCATCTTGATGGCAGCTTTCGAGAAAATTTAACATTTTCAAAAAGTAGAAATGCCATCTTTATGACATTTTCAAGAAAAATGACAGTTTTTACTTAAAATGATTTTTTTTACCGATCGGATGTGGCATTGTTGGGTGGTGGCCAAGGATGTGGGAAAAGCCTCCATAATTTTTTTTATCTTATAAATAATTTTATCTATTTTTTATTTATTTTCCAAGTTTTTATTTTTAAAAAATTTAGTTTTTTTAATTTTAATTATTTTATTTTAAAAAAAATTAGAATTTTTTTATATTTTAATAGGATCAAATAAGTCTATTTTGGAATTAATTAGTTTAGGGTATTAAGGATAGAATATTAATGTTTACTCCTATTGAAGGAAGTTTTAAATTTTACTTCTATTTGTGCAATTAAGTTTATGTTTACTCCTATATTGAGCAATTTTAAATAAAAAAAGTACAATGCATCACATATAGAAACTAAATTAAGAGCCCGTTTGATTTCAATCAATTCTAAGATAATAAAGTTTACATTATTTGATTGGAGTTGATATTACAATTTACGTAACTTGATGTCTAGAAACTACATTAAGGCTCATTTGGTAACACTAAAATCCGTTGAATTGATTGATTATGCTGGAATTTCTGAAATTCTGATTGAGGTGGCTATATTGAGTGATTCTAGTGATTTATGTAAAAAAATATTTAAAATATACTTTATAAATAAAATAACGAAAAAATTATATGAAAAATAGCCAAAATGGTCACCTATAGTAACTTTAGTCAATACAACCAGAAAAATAACTTCAACATTACTTTTTCTAATCATTACACAATTCAACGTGCGAAATCAAATGTTACGTGTTTGATTAAAAAGTTAGTTGATAAGCCTAATAAGTCAAAAAACAAAAGTAACCAAACAGGTTCTAAAAGCTCAATTGAATAACAAAAACTGAAACTAAATATGACCAAATTTGATTCATAAAATTAGAGATCAATACTGAGATCGGCTTACCAGTGATAGTACATAAATACATTCATATGCACGAGTTCGGAGTGACCATAAAAGTACTACATTTATGATAAAATATTAGAATACTTTTGAACAAAAAATAGTTTTTCCTCCCCATACACGGACTCACCCACAAAAATACCTAACTACTGCCCCTCAAGTCATCACCGACTTCCTGGAAGCAATTTTCTTACCACCTTATTCTGTGCAATAAAATAATGGAAAAAACCAAGGTTTCCATAGCCTTCAGTGTGGAATATAGTCAGTGGCGTCTCAAACATAAGTTGCATAGCTTCCTTTCCATAACAGCTCCCACTGCTACCAGAGTAGAATCAGTCCAATCCACCACGATCGAGCATGTCAACCAATGTCATTCTTCGCGGGAACCTGGGAGGCAACCTCAAATGCATAGCGTCCTCAATCTTAATGGGTAGATGTGTGGCTACAATGACAATCCCGCCCTTCTTTCTGTGATCGGCTATGATGGACTCCAGTATCTTCACACCATCATCATCCAATGCCACCGAAGGCTCATCAAGCAACCAAATTGGCCTATCGATAGCCAACAACCTAGCAAGCTGTAACCTTTTCCTTTGACCCATGGAGAGCATTCTTGACTTCTCATTTGCCAATCTCCCCAACCCCACAGTTTCTAAAGACGGCAAAGACTTCCCCTGCTTCCCTTCAAGCACTTCAAACCACTGAACATTGTCTAGGACCGTGAACTTTTCCTTCACAGCATCCTTGAGGGTCATTGGAAACCAGAAGGAAAAAAATTAGAATGGACAAAAATTGGAAGGAAAGAAAATTGTGGGAGGGGTGGGTGGGGTGAAATTATAGGCTAAAAATATACTGTACGGAGTATTATTTTAGAATTCATTGATACTCATATTCAGTCTTCAGATCCTATTTGGTAATGCTGATAAATAAGTCAAATGCCCACTTATCCTGTTGACAAGCGGAATAACAAATTTTTGCTATCAAACCGGCTATCAGTTTTCCTTGCATTTTCCTACTAGGTTAAACCATCATAATATATAACCCAACCAATCTACTTTCTTTTTTCCTTTCGTTATCATTTTCAGAGATCAAAGCACACCTTCAGGGAAAGCCAGTTGAGCTGAAGTTTGTATTGCTCAACGACACCCGAACTGGTGATGTCATGACCATTCCATAGTATCTCACCAGCAGATGGTTTTGCGAAACTGGCTAACATGCGCAGAAAGGTGGTTTTTCCAGAACCATTTGTGCCTGTCAATACAAGAGCCCCACCGTCATGGAGCGTAACATTAACATGACGAAGAATTTGTTGTGCATTTCTCATGCAACCTACATTGTTAAGGAGAAGCCGTGGAAGGGAAAGCCTACGCAAAGACATAATCTTTTACAAATAATATCTGGAAACAAAGCAGACATTACTGGAGGTGATGCTTACTCAAAGAATCATATGTCATGCACTTTGATCAACATAAGAACATTAGTAATACTGTAATAGTAACAGTAGCAATAGTAATGGTAATAGTAGTAATAGTAAGCTACAATAACCTCTAATATATATACACATGGGAGGATCTAGCATTTCTGTCCAGTAGGAGGGGGGTCGTATGTATCAATTAAATTCAATTGCACTGAAAATTAAATAAAAAATAATATTACAAATATTTTACAAGAAAAGGAGTTTTCACCCAGAACAATTGTTCTCACTGTATGATAAGTTGCACAATACTGAAATTGTCCTCATATTTAGATTAAGAACAATGGGATTAATTCTAAAACAAGCTTATGAATTAATACTAAATAATGGGATTAATATTCACACCCATATTAATACTCACTACCATATTCATACTGATGGAAACATGAGATTAATGCTAAAAATGAAATTAATACTCACTCAAAAATCATAAAATGAAATCAGGATATGTCTGTATTATTGCAAATTTGCAAATAAACTATAAGGCACTAGGCAGTAAACTCTACAGCCGTCTGTTGTAACTCCCTGCACTAAACACAACTGACAAGAGCTAAACGGCAAAAATTTAAAATCACTAACATTCTAACAAGACAACAGGTAACAATTAACCAATAAAATGCTTAATAAAATAATAATCAAAGATTCAAAGTTCCATGGGATGGTGAATTGTGAAATTGTTTCTTTTTACCTGGCTCTGGCTGAGTGCCTGAGTGAGGCGCGGAGGCGACGAGTGCCGAAGCGGTGTTCGTCTGGTCGGTGATCGCGGAAATCCGAATATTCAGGCTTCAGGGCATGGACTCTGTGCGGCAGCGCGATGGACCCTGGACTGTTGCAGGGAGGCAGGGGAAGAAGGCGCCAGGGCGGTGGAGTGGTGGGTAGCCAGGCGAAGTAGAAGGAAGATGCGAATAACAGATGATTGGAAGTGCAGATATCATTTTTTTTCATTTGAGCCTCTTGTATTATCGTTGACGGACGGCCCCTAAGCATTTAATTGGACCAAAATTTTATTGTCTCGTCTATCTGATCTGATCTAGTTAGGTCAGAAGAAGGTCTTATCTAATCTGATATTGTCTGATCTGATCTAGTCTGATAAATGTCTAGTTTTTGTGTACTTTATAATTGCCCAAATATGGTCTGATCTAGTCTGGTTTGATCTGATATGGTCTAATCTGATCTGGTTTGATGTGTTTTGAATTTTTTATCTAATCTTGATCTAGTCTGATTTGAGACTGAGAATAGTTCAAACAAAAGCATCTGTAATAATGAGAATAACTGTTTTCCAGCATGGGCCTCAGCCCTCAGCCTCTCACTATACTACTCTGTACTAAGTAGGGTCACAAGGTGTATTGAATATGGATTGTGGTGGATTTTTTTTAATCCATGGACTTTTAAAAAAGTCAATTGACTTTTAAATCCATAGACTTTTTTATGAATGAATTCTATAGACTTTTATATCCATAGATAAGTTTATTGACTTTCAAAAAGTCCATAGACTTTTAAATGGGGACTACCACTGCCGGTCGTCGGAATTTTCACCTATATCGCCGTTACCCATCTGCTTGGCCGCCTCCATCACCGGAGTTCCCCGCCTTCGTTATCGGATTGATCCACCACCAACAAAATAGCTTTGATTATGCAAGGGAACTAAGTACAATTAATTATATTAATTAATTAATTAAATTAGAAGTGACTATGTAATATTTAGTCTTATTTAAGGAAAATCAAACATATGTTCATACTTTAAGAAAAATGCTATGTTTTAGTCCTATCGTGAGTAAAATCCTCTGTATAATACGGAGTATGGTAAGAAATAATTAAATAAATAAATAAATAAATAAATAAAACAAATGTAATTCATATATCAACACAGAGTTCTACAAGAATAAATGAAGTATAAAAATCCAAATTCATTTTTATTAAAAAGAAAACTCAAAGAAATGAAGAAATTCATTATGAAAACATATTTTGGCACCCAGTTCTAAATTCATTATCCAAATTCAGACCAGTTCAAAAATCATTATTAAAAATGAACCATTTTGGCACCCATAGGTAATGTTGTTGAGATTATCAATCATTATATGATTTCGTTGAAGCATGAAGAAATGAAGACATATTAGAGTTTTGACAGCTCATGTTCACTTGAATGCAACATTGACACTGAATTCGATGAATGACAACTATGTAAATTGTGTTTGAACACCATCAATGCATCACCGATATATATTGAACCATAAATTCAAACCAAAAAGTTGTGTTCCTGTTATGCTAATGAGAAACATTGACGAGTCATACAACTTATGTAATTAGACCTGGACAAAATCGGGCCGGGCCGCCCAGCCTGCCCGCACAAATGGGCTGGCCCGCAATAAGATATGTGCGGGCTTGGGTTAGGGTGTAGGCCCGTTCGGGCCGATAAGCTCGACCCGCTACATTTAGTATATATATATATATATATATATATATATATATATATATATATATATATATGTATATATGTATATATATATATATATACTAATTTATTTATTTATTTGCGTATACACTTGTATATTTATATTTACTAATTTTTCTTTATACATATTTATAGTTTATTATGTTTAAATTTAAATTTGTAGTTCTTAACAACTAGCCCAACCAATACAATATCTATTTTTGTACTTAAAGATAATACTTTGTGCTTAAATTTTAAATTTTAGATATAGTTTCTCATTTTTTTTTTGTAACTATTTTTTTTGTATGTGGTGAAAGACGTATAAACATTATAAGCGTATTAATTATTTTCTGAATGTTGTGATATTATTTTTAAAGTATTTAAAAATCATATAATTTAGAAAAAATTAAAGTATTAAAAGTGGACTACCCGGCTCGCTCCTATGGGCGGGTATGGACATAGGGTTAGGCCCATTTTTGCGGGCCGGGCCGGGCCCGCCCACACATGATGGGCAGAAAATTTATAAAAAGCCTGGCCCGAGCCTGGCCCGAACCCGTTTTTCTACAGGTCTATATGTAATGTAACTCGCTTGATTATTACTTGGTTGTGTAATTATTACTTGGTTGTGTAATTGTAATTATTGGTCATGTCTAATGATTATCATTAGTCATTTATTGTGTCCAGGTTTTGTCCAGGTCTAATTATTATCATTAGTGGCCGCGTCAGATAGTAAAATTTCTTTCAAATTTCAAAGCAAGTATTTTCGGTCACTGTTTCATTTGGCGTAATGATAAACAAAAGTTAAGGACAATCTCTATAGCAAGTGATCATATATCATCCAAAGTATGTTTTACACATAGTCAAGTGTCCAAGAAGTGTGATGAAGATCCTTATATGTGATGACAAAAGGCGTGTTATCGACACTACTAATAATGTGATCTATAAAGAAGTTTTTAGAAATTTATGATACTTTTTGTACATTGTCAACAAATATATATGTTGTATTTTATAAAGTTTCATGGGACTCACTAATAACTGTAATACGGAGTATCGTGATATTTCATTATCTCATAGAGCTTATTGTTATACCCTGCAATTTTTTTTTTAATTTTACTTGGCAATCTTTCACAGCCCAAAACTTTCTTTTCTTAAAAACTATTACTCCGTATTATATAATCAAATTTACAACATATAAACTCTATTGTCTGTTTTATTTGAAAAATTTACACATCACGTATCATCATAATAAAGCATACTATTCTAGATATACCCCGTGCATCGCACTAAAATTAATCTTATTTAGGACTAAAAAACTCGGAACTCCTATCTCCATTCCTACCCATTGTTTTAGTCTTATTTGAGTCTTATTCCCTATATAATATATATTTTTGAAATATAGATATAACTATATAATTAAAACATTTAATTATAGTACTATACATTTTACGCATTTCACCTAACGTATGTCGTGCAAGCAACGTGCAGGACCTCGCACAATAGCCTACCTAGCTTGTAAAATTTTATAGTTCTTTCAACATCCTTACAAAAGACTCTTGCATTGAAGCAAAAAGTCTTTTCAGGAGTGTCTTGATGACTTATTGTCTTAACAAAAGTTCCCCAACTTGGATAAATCCCGTCAGCTAAATAATAACATTGATTACAGTGTTTACCATCCACGCGGAGAGCTTACAAGGGTGCTGAGGTCATTATTGGAACCGGCAGTGTAAAAAATGCATGCCAAATATGAGTATCATAAGAAGCAACTGATTCGAACACAACTGTTGGTTTATTTTTGTACCCGGTTTACTGACCGTCCCAAGATGTAGGGCAGGTTTTCCACTCTCAGTGCATGCAATCAATGGACCCAATCATCCCGGAAAACCTTTCTTTGAGGCCTTTTCAAGAAGACAGTGCAGATCCCCGAGATTAGGGGTTCGTAGGTATCAAGAACCATACACACTAACATCTGTCCTACAAAATTTCTTCATACACAAAAGTGTGATCGTCTCACTCAAATGACATAACTGATCTAATGAATCAGCCGAACAACCATTGGCGAGCACAAAGGTTTGCTGCATCTGCTATAATCAGCCGAAAATAGGGATCAAAAGCCATGACATCTTTCATGATTCGATCAAACAAAGCAGTGTATGGTCTAACCATTTAAAGCAATTAATATGTAAGAAAATATGCAGTGTATTTTATTGACGAAGCTGAAATCCAAAGAAATACGAGTCAAAACACTATTTTCATATGGACGAACTCTATTTTTGACATTTTAGCCTCCACACCACTCCATATGGTCTAACCATTTAAAAAATATGCACCCCCGAGCCCTAACCCTTACCCCAATAATGGGCGGGGTAGTTTGGTGAGAGAGTTACATTAAGGGCTTGGGCCAAAGTGGTTTCGGGGTTCCCTTTGTTAAGAGCTTCGATTCGATATACGGTACACTCAAAATGAATAACGGGTGAATGAGAAATTGATTCTCGAAGTTCCCTCGTTGAAATGGATAAAACTAGAAAAATGATGGGTTTCTAGTGTGATTTATCCCAAACTGGAAAACTCAAGGGATTTTCACCCCTTTATAAAGGTTCTTCTTTGAATGAGTTAAGATTCCTAGGTGGAAAGACTCTCTTCGCGTGCAGGGGGGTCTCGATCAAATCTCGAAAACGGAGAAGATAAACCGTGATTTGCGTGCGCTGGCGACCTGCATACACGAATGTCGTTCGAAATCTATCTTATAAAGATAAGATTTAATTTTTGTTTATTCCCGTGACGTTCCTATTTTTTGCTCCAGAACCAGCGCGCTAGCAGGCTGCTACTCGTTGTTCAACGGTCACTAGAAGGCTGATGGTGAACCGTTACAAACAATGAATGTTCAACATTCTTCTCCCTTAATGCAGCTTTAAATGAACATTTTATGGACGAATTGATGCCTAACGTTCTGATCATTTATGTTCAATGTTCAGGTTCATTAAAACGCACTTAACACACAACAAATCTGTCCCTGTATATGGCTAACAGGTGCTTTGCAACAACACATGAAATATTACACTATCTTCACGTAGTTTTAGAGTGAAACCCTCCTCCAGCTTTCTAAAAGTTCCTTAGTGTTTTGCTTTGTTTCCGTTCGCTGAAACAATCGGTTGTTCGTAGCCAATTTATTTTGGGAAACTATCATTGCAACACTCCTAACACCGTGGGAGACAACAAATATGTTTTAAGAAAATTGTGTGTTGCACAAGATTTGACTTTTCTGTTCCATCCTGTTTTCAGTTTTTCTTGGCTATTTTAATTAATTATTTTCTATTTTTTCCGATTAAACACGCTTTTAACCCAACAGAGGTTCCACAACCTACCATCACGAGTTAGTTTTTTTGCCCACAATCCTGACCAGAATGGAAATGGTGATTCTCTCTACTGCCAATGAGCCTGGCTTTTTTGAGCACTATATGGCATTTAGTTTAACACTGGTTTACCTAACATCCGACATCTATTTCAATCACTACTATTTAAAACCAAAAATGATTGAGAATACATACTACTTGCTAGAAGTAAGTAATGAATAAATTTCTTCCTCGCCGTTAAGTTAAAATAGATGAGGAAAAGTTAACTGATGGGGTTATAAGACTAGGTCCAGAGTCTAGTCAGCGCAAGTCTGAACTTGGACCGTGAATCCGGCCCATGACCTGGAACGATGGGCCCAAGTTAGCCCAGGACCATTGTCTCACCAGGACAGGCTGACCAGTGGACCCAGCAACCCAGAGCTCGAGTCAGCCCAACTGGTCAAGCCCATCAAGGAGCGGAAGTTCAACGGAGCAGAAATCTGTCTCCAACCTAGTGGGGTGCCTGCATCAAGCCCAGCGGGGAGCCTGCCTTCAGTCCGGTGGGGAGCATGTCGTCCAGTTCAACAGGAGGGAGCTCAAGCGTTCAGCCTACTTGCCAGGCCGACCCGCCAACCAGGAAGAGTAATGGCCAGGAGTTAATGTGCCTAATTATGTGTTTAATTCTGTATTAATGTTGTAATTAATTAGTCATTATTGTAGTTGGCAGTTACCATTTGCAATCGCCTATAAAAGGCAAGTTTGATTTAAATAATAGATATTAAGATTTGAGATTTCATCCTAAAAGGTTAACCTGTTAGGAGGAGTAGCTCAAGGCTTTATATGTTGATTTGTATTTCTATACGCAACCGGTGTGAGACAGCTTAATACGCCCCCGCAAGATGGTGGCTCGTTGGAGCAGGCCAATCTTGTAGTCCGTGTGCTCGTTGTTGAGGCTTACCAAGATCTAATTACTCGTTGGAGCTTAATTTGTTTTGATATCATATTAAGACTTGGGATTGTATCCTAAAAGGTCAACCTGTCAGGAGGAGTAGCCCAAAACTTTATATGTTGGTTTGTATTTCTATACGCAACCGGTGTGGGACAACTTAATACTTTATTTCTACATTTCTGTGTGGGTATTTCTGGCAACCAAATTCGCTTAGCTACTTTCCTTATTCGTAATACTTTATTGATTTCTGCTTGAGTGTTCTTTTGTAACTTTTCTAAAATCCTATGAGCCGTCCTATTTTGGACCAAGTTTAACCAATATACAGGTAGAGAACATAAGTAGGCCTGGCCATCAGGACATGCATATAGAAAGGGTTACTACTGCATAGCACAGGAAATCCTACTACTACATACGGAGTATAATTATTAATTCGTCCATATACAATTGGGACTAAATTTGACTGTATCCTTCAGAACCCAGAGTAGGGTGGTTTCTCCAAATCCTCAAGGGGGCGGAAGAAGGCTTGCAGCTCTAAGACAGACTGACCGGCGCCTGGGTGGAAATCACCACCACCAGGAGCAGCAACATGATTATTGTGATGAGTGGATGGCCCGAAAACTCCGGTCTGAGGATGAGGAGCCCACCAGGAGTTGCTAGATTCATCCGGGACAGTTGTAGGATGTTGTTGAACATGTTCTTCCATATTCTTGTCATACATAGATACATGCACAGCTCTTCTGCACAGCCAAAATTGCCAACTACTTTAGTTTCAACAGTAAAGGTTTTTGACATGCTACAAAAATACTCTTAGACATAACTTTTCATTGTCCCATATATTCATGCCACACACAAATGTAGCATAAAAATGATACCATACAAATTAAGAGTAAACCATGACAGACAAGCCTTTTTCTCGGAAATGGCGTTCGTTCAGTTCAGGACGAGAACTAGTACCAAAAACTGGTCAATATCGATTCAAGTTGTAAGACTATGCTCGGAAAAACGTTCATTTTTTAATTAAAAAAAGGTTTCATTTTTAAAACAAACTAGAAGACGGGTCTTGACGGGGGCCAAGGGAAACGGCCCCCGCCCCCTAATCATGTCTTCCTGGTGGGCAACTGGGCAATCCAAAAACTGAGAGGGTCCACCCTTACAAACATTAGGATAAATGTTACTCTCTCTAACCCATTTTGTAAGTCATTCTTTTTTTGTTTGTTCCACAATTATGTATGTATTCCTTTGACATAACCCTCATCTTCATTGGGTTTGGCCCGCGCTGGGTACAATATGTTTATAGATTTACCAAAAGGGAATACTTTAATGTTAGAAAAAATTATTCAAGAATGGTGACATTTTTACAAATATATATTTGGATACTCTTTTTAGGGATTCCGTATGAGCTGAATTATGATATCCAACTTCCCACCTGTAAAGTAAAGTTAAGGAACTACATTTGTCAGTTTGCCCATTTAGTCGTCTTCATTAAGGGTATACAACAAATCATAAAATATATGATCATTTACTCCGGAACTTTTAATAATTTTTTTTCTTTCAGAATTGTTGGTTTTATCGAGATTTATAATACACCCTCAAAACTCAATTTCAAGTGAGACGTTCTTAAATAGGATCAAAATAGTGTCATTTTTCTCAAAATATGACCTAATAGGCTAGTATAATTCCATAAATATGATTTTTTAGGAATTTTATCAATTCAGGACCCGAAAGATAGACGACGAATTATCAATCCGGAACCTGAAAGAGGAAATGCATCAATATAGGACCCGAATGATGAAAAACTATCAATTTAGGACCTGAATGATTGAAAACTATTACTTTAGGACCTAAGTTGTCATAAATTTTATTTTATTTTTTATTTTAAAATTTTTAAATACTATTTAGTTTTATTAAACTAATAAACTTTTGTGAAGAAAAGTTTATAAAAAAATAGTCATGGAATTAATAAAAAATTAAATAAATCAAAACCTATGGAACATTAAGTCCTAAATTGATAGTTTTCCATCATTCAGGTCCTATACCGATGATATGTTTCATCTTTCGGGTACTGAATTGATAAAATTCTTTTTCTTTATGATATCAAAATGTGAACAATGAAATGATGGAATAAAGCAAAATGACTCACTAAACTGTTTATTCTTCTTTGTTATGAAGCAAAAGTCAGTTTATGCAATTTTCGATGCAAAGATGAACATTAAATATTAAAGATTAATATTTGCAATTTTCAAAATCACTAAAGATGAAGCAAAAGTCAGTTTTTGCAATTTTCACGGCAAGACCCTAAATAAACACTGCAGATAAAGATTAACATTTGTCATGCTTTCCCGTCCTCCATAATCTTCACTTTGATAAAATCACACGGATCACTACTTAGCTCATTTCAAACCATTTGATGGTGCCATCAGAACAAAGTATGAGCTGAGCAATAAACACACACACACATATTATATACATTCAATTTTCTTTACAAGCATACCTAGCAGGAAAGAAGGCGGCGTAAGGGGTGATTGTGCCGCCGCCGCAGCAGCTATGAAGCCTCTTGTACAGGCTGGCAATTCCACGACGCTGCAAGTTGGCGGCCATTCTATATCTAGTGAATATATATAATGATATATAGATTGACTGATTGAGGGAGAGATATGTTTGTTAGTGGGATATTCAGAGAGAGGTTTGCAGATGAAGTGTCATTTTATAGTTAGTTTGGGGCATGGTGAGGATGGGGGTGGCCCCAGCGTGGCGTGGAGTATCTAGGCACTTCTATCCTTGGTATATATTTTAATTATATGGTTTTATCTGTTGCCTGCCCAATCCCGTCAGCACTTACTCAGCAGTCCGTCAATCTTGTTGCAGCAGCTGACTAAACATATTAATCTCTGCAATTTGTGTACCTTTTTTCATTATTGATTATTGAATTTGATTTTGAGGAACTTGATATAAAAAATGCAAGTCTTGGTTTTGAAGTTTTTAGCTGCCCAAATCCTTTAAACAGAGAAAGTATTTAATCTCTGTTCGCTTTGCAAATAAATATGTAGAGCACTACAAGAAATTGTGTAAGAAACAGGCATTTCATATTGCAAAACTCTTCAATTCTTCTTTGATAGGCGAGCAGGCCTACGAATAGCAAAAACTAGGGATTACCACACTTCAAAATATTTTGAAATGCCTCCCGGTAGAGAATATTGAAAAAAACGTTGCAATTATTTAGAGTTGTATGATAACGAGAGTGTTGTTTGTTTCACATCTTCTGCTTCATCTTCTTTAACCTTGAGATGTGGTTTTGAAACTATTGCCAACAACCAAACTGTTCTCAGAGACCTGCTGTAGGGCGGGTCTGACCACGAAAGGGTTTTTCCTGCCTTTCCGCCATTTCTTATGTTTACCGTTTCTGGCATGGGAGGCGGCAATGGCAGCTTCTTCATCTTTCACTTCCGCTGCCTCGGCGTTATCCTGAAAAGGATGAAACTGTTTCAGCATCTTACGCAGCTTTCTCATGCTTAAATCTTCAATGGGTTGCTCATTCTTCATGGGCTTCTCCTTCTCTCCAGTAGGATCAGCAAATATCTTCATATCCTCCCCACTAGTTGTATCAATCTTGTTCTCTTTATCGTCCGAGACTTGAGGCAGAATGATTTCAGCATTCTCAAACTTCACCCCACCATCTATGCTCTCCCCCTTTCCCTCCTCCTGATGAAGGCCACCGGTTGTCGAATACCACCACATTTCACTTGTTGCCAACTGCTGCTTGTTGGAATCTTCACCTGAGGTTTCATCATTGCTGCTGGTATTATCCTCCACAGTCTCATTCTTACCACCATCAAATTGCTCCACCATTTCATCACCACAGCCATCCTCCCCCTCTTCTCCTTCTCTTTTGTTATAGTCACAGTAGATTTCATTATTGTTAGGCTGCTGCTCATCATCAGCACTTTCTTGCAATTCCATTTCATCAATGTGTTTTGATGATTCCTTGCCAGTAGCAGATTCGTCTGCATTTTCCGAACAGTGAGAATATTCATTTATCAAGAAAATTAACAAAATTGATATTAACAAAATGTACCCCACTGACCATATTCATTTTCACTAAGCCCATTGGTGATACCTAATTCTTCAGAGACTTGCGAGCCTTGGTGCGTATCAACAACATTCACTTCCTTGCCGACCAAACTTTGATCCTCATTTCCACTCAAGGAGGCAGAATTTGTTAAATCTTCATCACCTGATGACAACAGCAAGAGGTCTTCAGTCATGAAAAGAAACAAAACAACAATTAAACAATAAAAACAATAGCAAACGCCCTTTTTCTTCCCAGTGAGGATATCATACCATGAACCTCCGAACTGCGGAGTGCATCAGCAGTTTTTACAACCCATTCAGGCATTTCAACAGTATTTGGTACTTCATCGTCCAACTTTTTGGATGTAGTCAAATAATCACCAACAACCTCCTGAAAACCACCACCTTCCATTTCAGCCTCGTTTGATTCCTTTTCATCAGAAAAATCAATTGTTTCTGCATTTCCATTCCAACACAAATATCAAGAAGTTGCATGCACATATAAAGGACAGAACTTAAGAAGTATAGAATACTCAAATGCAAAAAAAAAAAAAAAGTGCACACACTGACCGCTTATACCTAGCACATTAGTAATAATCTTGTTAGCAAATTCTTCAGAAGTCTGGTGCATATCAGCACTCAGTTCCTTGATGACCAATCCTTGATTCTCATTTTCAGTCAAGGCACTTGATGAGTCTACAGTTTGATCACAATAAGAATTCAGGCATTAAACCACACATAGTAAAACATGAAAAATACCAAAAGCATTTTTGTCGTAGTCCAGACATTATATTAACAAGAATCTCCACCCTACCATATAGAGCATCAGCATTTTCTGCCACATATTCAGATACTTCTTCAGTATTTGGCACTTCAGATTTGTCATCGTCCAACTTTTCAGGTACAGCCTTGGTACCATCACCAACGACCTCATGGCATCTAAGCTGAAGATCAGCATCACCACCTTCTTGCAAGTCCATTCTAACATCATTTGATTCCTTGATGTCAGAAGATAAATCTTCAGTTGCTGCATTTAACACAAAAGTTATAAAGAACTTGCAAATAAAACTCCGAATGTGTGGAAACAAAACGCTTAATTTAAAATCTAGAAACTGACCATTAATATATTCGCCCAGCACATTAGCAGTCTTCTCGGTGGCAAACTCTTCTGAGCTTTGGTGCATGTCAACAATATTCAATTCCTTGTTAGCCAAACACTGGCTCTCAATTCCACTCGAGGAGGCAGTTGTTGAATCTGCAGCAAGTGGTGAAGTTTGACATGAAGTGGTAATAAAAGTAAGATCACTAATAATAGGAACAAATATGTTAATAATAACAGTAGTTATAACAATCTGTTTCCTTAAACCTAGTTAAAAGAACATACCAGCTTGCTGTAGCTCTTCATCCAATTGAAGGGCGCGGAGTTTGGAGTTGATATCTATAACCTCATCTTTTTCAACTGTAAAGGAACCACAGTATGAAACATTCTCTGATGCTTCCTGTGTGCTCGAACCATCTTGTTTAGCAGCTAACCTCGCTGACCTGCGAGTGCTGTATGCTGGGAGGCGGATTGAGCTCTTCTCCTTCACTACCTCTCTCCTTCGGCTTGTCAGAAAAGTACCTGGTGTCTTTGGAAGATCATTCTTCTCATTCAAAGTCTTCCCTCCATCTTCCACACTGTCTAGACATTCCTTCATCAAGTTTTCCATCTTTGGACGAACTGAAGTTGTCGCTGCCATTCTTCTGCTAGCTGGTGCTGATGGAGTCTGACACATCTCATTCTTTGCTTCATCTGAACAATCAGGCGGCATTCTTCTTGTTGATCGGCTGGTCCTAGTCATGGTCTGGGAGACTTCAGATTCTTTCTTAGCAGTATTCCTAATAGCAGTTCTCCTACCAGTGCGAGGGGCACTTGACATTACATCTGGCTCCTCAGGCAATTCAACTGCCGAACTTGCTGTCTCTGATTCCATTGGCTTCATGACCTCTTCAATACCTTCGACCTGGAAGGAAAGAACAAGTAAGTTACTTCCCTCTCAGATTCAGAGTTAATATAATAATGGTCCACCTAAACCTTAGTCGGGAAGTTGAGGTATTAAATAATGAAAATGTATATATGCATAGCTTCTCCCATCAGAAGTTCGAATCTATAATCACTTAAATATCCAGGAAGCATTTAAATCATTTATACACAGAACTCCATTGAGAAACTCAAATCTAACATTAAATTACTTCAATTGCGTCTTAAATCATTAATAAGACTGCCCGCCAGGTTCTCACACTGTTCAACTAGAATTCTCCTGATACACACACTTTTAATTTTTAGAAAACGTCTGATCGTTTTAATAGAAAAAAATAGGAACTACGAAGTTCAGACACATACCAAGGCGCCTAAAATGAATACAAAAAACAATTACATATAAACTCAAAACCATCAAATTCAGACTGATTTGATTCGTCAGAACAAACTTACAAACTCAAGAGCTATGAGAGCGTCCGCCATAGCAACATTGGAGAGGTTAGCCGGAATCTTGTTCTTCTTGCAGAGAGCTTGTAGCTGTCTCCTGTTGAGTGTACGGAAATCCATGGAAGGCAAATGAGATCGAAGTGATCTGCTGGCTGCTCTTAGGGTCTACGCACTGTTCTATTAGGGATGGGCAAGCTGCTTTGGAGGGGATTAGAGTAAGGATGGAGAATATATAGCGCTAGCCTTGGTCGCTCGAGGCGAAGCCTGGTCGTCAATATGACCGTTGGATGGAAAATTCAAATTTTGAATACCATTTTCAATTAGATTATCAAATCGGGGTACCCCTTTCAAGCGTACTGACGGACCTTAAAGTTGTGTTTGTAGCCCATTTCTTATTGGGCCAAATATGAATATAGATCACTAGACAATATGATCCAAATCTAACAATAGAATCGCAACCTACAAACTACAAATTAAAAGCAGATTTCTATGGGAAATTCTAAATACACACACTTATTTACTAAACACAGCCTGCATATATTTTAATTCCTAATATATCCTAGACAATACCGGACGCACTTGGCTTCGACGATATTGGCATGGAACGACTAGCAACAAAGTTCCAGAAGATGACAACACAGCTTCTAACCAGCTCACCAGCGACCTCCTATGGTGATGACGACATTCCCAATCGCCGCCATAATAGGCAAAAACTCTAAGGCTATGAAGTCCGACCATTAAACTATCAAAAAAATAACCTTAGTTCATCCTTTTCTGCCGTTGTAACTTCATACGTAGTCGTAAACAAGCATTAAACTATCAAGAATATGATAGTTGTTTTCTCAGGAACAGATCAATAGATCAACAGGTATGCTTAGTTTTATCTTCTCTGGTTTATTCCTCTGTTTTTCTTCTGTCATATTGCAGGGGTGAACACTTAGCCTTGCAAAGAGTACTATGACCACTGAATCTTATGGAAAACTTGTCCGAGTTACAAATGGTTTGAAACATCATATTGAAGACTCGGATAATTACTTTTTAAACTATCCACGTAACCAGACAATCCATGGATGCTATTGAAAAGTATGGCTTCATCAAACATGGATTGGGTGTTACTGCAAAAATCTACCATACAAGAAGATTCATTGGGGTATATATAGGTCGCAACCATTAATTTTAAAGATCACACTTGCGAGCATTATTACTAGAAATTACAGCGAGAAGAAGAAACGATTTGGCAGTTTAAGGTTTGGGAGAATTATCATTGATGTTGCTATCAAAAACCGGTGTTGCTACTTCACTAGGTTGCAGATTTTTCTTGTCTCGTCTGCATGTTTGTCGAGAAGAAGACGTTCGGAAGCCCTGAAGTGTAAAGATTTGGCCGTCGATATCGTTATGACGCCGCCGGTTCTATTACTGGTTTCGGCGGTGATTCGAACTGCCGTCGTCGCTGTCAGAGGTAGGTGGTCAGAAGCTGAAGTGTTGTTGTTTACTGGAATGTAGTTGTTATTTGTTCCATGCCGCCGCCGGTATCACCGGAAGCTAAAGTCGTGTCGGTATTGTTAGAAGGATATATTAGGAATTTAGGATATATGCGGGTTGTGTTTAGTAAATAAGTGTGTGCATTTAGAATTTCCAAATTTCTATTTTACTACGGTGGTTGGTACATACGAAGTGTACAAGAACAATTCATATCTATTATAGGGATCTTACCATCATTTATTGGTAAATTAGTGTTTGGTCGTCCAAAGCGCGAGAGTTAATGGTGAATGTGAAAGTGAAGTTTTTTCATAAATAATTACTACGTATTTTACAAAGGTAGAGGTAATATTAATTTGAGTTTATAATAGGCACAATGTAATGATGTATGGTTGAAGTAATTGTAGACTTTGAGTAATAGTTTGATTTTGGAATGAACGAATTGTGTACAAAGTGCTATTGGTCCTCTTGATGATATTGAGCTTGACAAATTTCAGAATTAAAAACTCTTAATTCAAAAATACTTTAAAAACAATATTTTTGATCGAATGATTTTGACTACATGTGAAACAAGGTTCCAGGGCAATTTAACTTGCAAAGCGACTTGCTTGGTTGACTTGCACAAATTAGTGACTAAGGATGTTTTTACTCGAACTGAAATTTGTTAGACTGGTCTGGTTTTTTATGTCTGGTCTGATTTGGTCTGGTAAATGTCTGATTTCTATGTATTTTATAACTATGAAAGTCTGATCTTGTTTGAACTGATCTAATCTGGTATCGTCAGGTCTGGGACTGAAAACATCCAAATAAAAACTTCTAAAGGAATAATAACATAAGACTAATTGTATCTTAAAAGTGATGTTATATCAAGAAGAAAAGATGATAATATGGTTAGCCATCAACGGGATAACAATAAAAACATGTAAAGTTAGTTCTAGAAGTTATGAGGGGACATGATCTATGCTTTAGATAAATTAGAATAAGCACATGTAAAGGGAAATCGACAATGTTAACAAAGTTCTATGTTTAATTGTGCAAACAAGGAAGTACATGTGTTCATCCATTAATATAACATAGTCGTTCACTAGATCATTGAAATACCAGCATGTTCTGTTTATAAAAAAACTAAAATCAGTCATCCTTGTACAAGAGATCTTTTTCTTCAATTTAAAAGAAGAACCGCTGATTTCTGCAATTTCAAAAAAAAAAACTCCATTACATACTCATTAACTAAAACAACAAGTAGAGTGTTCTTTGATTACATAATGTATAGTAATGATCAGTTCACTCTTACATTGAATTAGCAATGACAAACATGTAAATCACATGAGAGTATAATTAATGCTGGGAGATTTACCAAAATAGGAGTAAATGGAGTTTGGAATTCCAAAATATGACTACTATGTTTTTATTTCTGAAATGAGACTAACATGGCAATATTTATTATCATCTTGTAGGCGTGACTGCCAAATAGTTGCAGTACAGTGCATTTAATAGACAATACTCCTATTTTTCATATGACAGTATTTTTCATACATGGCACTAACAACTCCTATTTCAGGAAGAAAAACATAATAGTCCTATTTTGGAATTTCAACCCTCATTTACTCCTATTTTGGGTAATTTCCCATTAATGTTTGAAGGCTAATATTTGAAGCCTAATAATATTATTAGGCTCAATCTAGAACTCAATTGTTTGAAGGCTGATATTTGTTGGACGAGAAATAAATCATGTAATAAACCAACTAAGAATTGAAGCTATTCAAAAAAGAGCACCCAAATTATTAGGTTTTACCATTAAAAGGTGTTTCACATCTCTTAGTACTAACCCTTTTAATTAAGCAAAGATTCATAGCACTAACCCTTTTAATTAAGCAAAGCTTCGATGTACCCATGATAAACTTTAAAGGTTAAATTAAACTAAATTAAACTAAAATATGCTATACACTACGAAAAAAAATCGCTTGTAGTCACGGACGCTAGTCACGGATTCGGTCTGTGACTAGTTACTCAGGGTTCTAGTCACGGGCTAGTCACGGATTGTTTAAAAAAATAGTCACGGATATGTCCGTGACTACGGTTAGTCACGGATTAAATCTGTGACTAACCTATTCCCGTCAACCCAATTTTGCCTCCGGCGGTTTTTTTTTTTTTTAATTTGAAATTAGTCACGGACGAATCCGTGACTAATTCCGTGACTAAACTTAGTCACCGATAAATTAATTCCGTGACTAAGTCCGTGACAAGATCCAAAATTAATTTTTTCAACGCTTCAAAGTTAAAGTGCACCGATAAATCGTACAAAATTATGTAGTCACGGACACAAATGTGACTACGTCCGTGACTACATGTTTTATATATGCAACCTCCGCTTCATTCAACAAAACCACACAATCTATTTCAGATAGAATTCCAGATAGAATTGAAGGATGTAATCTACCCATCTTATATCATTTTCCCTGTTTATGCAGATAAGGTATGTAATTTGAATTACGTATTTTTTTGTATGAATTAGTTGGTTCATTTTAAGTGTAATAAATTAGAGGGATTATTAATTAAGTAATGAATTATACATATGTCAATTTCATTTAATTTAGTGAAAAATTAGTTACTTAAACGCAGGTTTAATCGTAGTGACGCATTAAGTTAAATTAATTAATTAGCTAAATTAGTTAAACTTTTGGTAATAATATTAGTTAAATTTAAATTAAATGCATTTAAAAAAAGGTTGTTAATTAATTAACGAAATAAATTCCTTAAATTTAGTTAAACGTAGGTGTAATTTAAACATAGGGTTAATTAAGTTGTATTTAATTAAAATTACGTAAATTAGTTAAATTATAGATGATATTAGTTAAATGTAAGTATTATTTGATTCAAATGAGTTTATATATGGTTAAATATAATGATATGATTTCTTTATTAGCAATTATTGTTAAGGCCTAATTTAGGATTTATAATGATTTAGATTAGGGTTAGTTAATTGAAACATTACTTAAGTATGATGATTTATGATTGTGAATTACGTAAATTAGTAAAAAAAATATAATATTAGTTAAATTTAAGTATTATTTAATTTAAATGAGTTTTTTTTTTTTTTTTTTTTACCCCGGAAGGCCAACCACCAAAATCAGTGGGGTAGATGCCGAGGGACATCTACCAGATTTTATTACCTCAAAGCAATTTACACATGGAGATAAAATCAACCATAACAACAAAAGGCTATACAAAGCCAACAATCAAAAAATATAGGGCATATTCGCTGCATCTAATAAAATGGAGCCCCTCAGCTGTTTTGGAATGGGATCACCTAAACGCCAATTGAACAGCCCAAGCCAGCCCAAAAATGCCACCCTACCCGCCGATTGGTTTACCTGGGCTGAGATGAGTTTATTATATATATATATAGGGGATGGTTCAAATACAAAGAGTTCTTGCCATGCAAAGTGAGAATGAATCTTGTGCATTCATTTCCACATCTAATGGCTCAAAATGAGCCAAAAATGCACTAAATTCGACCAAAATCGCGGTGGCAATTTCGTAAATAAACCGCACTTTTTCGTCACCACAAAAAAGTGCAACATAAAAATGAAAAAGTGCAAGCGAAACATGAAAAAGTGCATATCTTTGCACTTTGCACGGGAAGAAGTCTTTTTATTTGAACTCTTTCCCTATATATATATATATATATATATATATATATATATATATATATATATATATATATATATATATATATATATATATATATATATATATATATATATATATATGCTTAAATTATTGGATTTGCTC